TAAAAAACAAGGCAAGATTAGCACGAGGGGTTCCAAATTCCTTCCTATTCAATTCAGACATTTATGCACTAACAGACTTAAAACAAGCCCAAATATCAGCACTAGTCACAACTTTTCAAAAAAACCTAAATCATCATAACTTCTATGCTTCTTTTCTAAAACTGTGACTACAACAACTGCAAGATGCAGCATTCACAAATATCTCAATTTTGGAACAACTACCAGTATTTCCACTGTCACAAATAAACACACAAACATGTCAAATGATAATAACATTACACATGATAGGACTGCAAACTATACAAGATAATAATAACTAGCCATATCCAAAAAAATTTTCTGGAACATTTATAAACCAACTTCTTAAAAACCATCCTAGAGACTCTTATTCTAAAGAAAAATTAAATAACCACAACATCATAAGCATCGAACAATTTATAAACTCAACTAATACAGAATTGATAACATGGAATAACTTCTATTACAATATTAGAAAAATACCTAGAGGCCAATGTCCTTATTGGTTTTCAATAATAAAGGACCTAATAACTGCTTCAGCAAACCTATCATTAACACTTTCAGAAGTAAATCCATATATCATAACCAACTGGACACCTAACAAGAAAAACTAGATAATTACAAAGAACTTAATTTGTGAAAAAATTCACAATCCATCTAAAAAATATCTCAAGATTTGATATTACAACTTGCATTCAGACAATACACTGACAGCCTGCCAAGAATGCACTCTAAAAAACAGATCCTACATCTCCAAATACTGTTACTTTAATACTATGGAACCTATATACAATCTTCAAGTAGATTGTAAAAAAGAAATCCACATTGATCTAGATGATTTTAAAAAAGTGTTAACTTTAAATTCACTAACAACAAATCAATTCCAAAAACAAGAAATACACCCAGTTCTAGCTAGGCCCTTATGTTCATTCAACAACCTTTCAATACCACTCTGGGACACAATGATGAAAGACAATTTTAACAAAAAAACAGTAACATTATACATAACAAGTAGTCGATGCAATATTGAAAACAACTCTTGCATAATCGCTAGTTGCCGCTTTCAACATCTTGATACCTTATTCAGGTGTTTTACCAACTGTTGGCCTTCTTATTTAAACACATTAATAATTTTGTTAACTTTTGTACTTACTATAATAAATCCAAATGCCAACGTTAAAATAATCATTAACAACTCCTCACTTGTGAACATAATCACTTTTATATAGTCAGTTCAATCATATAACTATCCTGCTTTGGATAAACAACAACATACCTACCTTCTTCTGATACTAAAGGCAATAACATATAACCAAACTCTTATAATTATATTGGACAAAGACCTTAAAATTCCATAAGCCCAAAACAATATATTCCTATTAGATCCTATACCACAAAAATTCTTATATAACTGCTTCATTCCAAAGCTCCTTGGTAACCCTTGCACATACTTATTAAAAACTACATTGAAACAAATTTACCAAATTACAAACAGAATGGCTTGGTTTAATTAATAGCAAATCTCATTCTGGCACACCTTACAAAACAAAATCAACTGGTCACTAACATTGCAATACCTATTATATGGAGAAAAACCTCTGGCCTTAGTGACTGATCCTTTTTCTTCAGCACTAAAAAACTTTAAAATAAAAATACTCTCTGAAGAATTACCCACACACCTTATGCTCCACTGAAGAAACACTACCAAATATTCAAACTATCTCTGTCCAAGGTGCTATAATGCACCAGAAGATATAATACACTTCTTAACTTGCTTCTGGAACCATACATGTCTTACAACCTTAATAAAAGATGCAGTGCGGAAAACATTAAATGACTTGGAAATACCATGCTACGAAACACATAGATTTACTCAAGCCTTCATCTCAAATCATATTAACAAGCATATGCCATTAGGACTAATAATGACTGAGACCTTAGCACCTTTTAAAAACAACAAACAAAAAAATAAATATGCTTCTCTTGTACATCATAATATTATTACTATGATATATAAAGAGCTTTGGCTTACCTCAAGAACAGTACAACATAATTTAGTTTTTCCAATCCCATCACCCTTACAACCTTCAACACTAGCTAAAACTAAACCAATTCCAATATCAGTATTAAACGAAAAAATACAACAATTTATTACTAATGGACAATCTTCTCTTCATCATCTTATCAAAGACTAGAGGTTTACCGACCATTCTAGCAAAGAATAGGTCGAGAGTAAAGTAGCTCTTACCTCCATCTCCCCTAGTTTAGTTTCTTCAACATGTATCTTATATATATAATTTGACTAATTAATAAAGAGATAGAGGATAGACCTCTCTTTTAAAAAAAAAAAAAATAAAAATAATCATTATTTATGTTCAGTATAATTATTTATAAAGCTATAAAAAACATAAGTCGTAATTGATCTAGGTGAGAAACTGTGTTTACTTCAACACTTGTATTAGTGCTTTGCTTTGCTTCTATTGTTACTGAAATAATGATGAATTGTAAGTATATTTAATAAAATTTTGTATTAAAATAATAATGATAGACTAGATAGTTGTTTAATAGTTTTAGATTATAAATTGCAATTTTTTGATAAAATTACAAGTACTGATATATGTAATTGGTGTTGTATAAAAAAGAATGAATGTTCTTGTCCCGAATATAAGAAGAAATCTGAATTGAAGCCTTTGAATTGGTCACCTGAGGACTGAATTACTGAGAAAAAAGGTAAAGATAATTATAATGAATGGAAAAATGATTGAAAATAAGAAAGCACTTATCATAAAAATTATAAATGATGTGAATTATGTTATAAAGCTAAACATTATAGAAAAAGCACTAGTCATAATTCTTATGATTGTTGGTTTAAGAAAAGGGAATTGTCATTTGTGATAAAAGTCAAATGTTCATTTTGCTCAAAGAAATATTTTTCTAAATATCATGCTGAAGATTACTTATGTAAGAAATCTCTTCCTGAAGATGATCCTAGATGTTGGAATATACTTGGTATAAAGATGATTAAATAACTTGATTGAAAATTATCAATGTAAAATTTCATAATATAAATAATTTCAGTTAAATTTTTATTGTAAGCTAATACATTAAATTAAAATTTAAATATAATATCAGTAAACCTTGATTTGCCTAAATAAAAAAGGCTCATTAAAAGTAAATCAAATTTGATTTATTTATATTTCAGTTCGGGAAATATGGTCTGAATCAATAAAAGTAGAAATGTGGACCTAGCATTGAACAGATAATATAAATAATCTTTGGGTTACTTTAAACTGATAAATATCTATAGATTTAAAGTAACCTGTAGATTATTTATATTGTTTAAAATTTATGGGTCACATCACTACTAAGAGATTAGCTTTTTAAATAATACAATATTAATATCAAGTGAATTTTTGTATAATTATTGTTATACTAATATAAAAAACTACTCTAAAATTCAATTCCAGTTTTATACAAATTAAGTATAAATTAGTAATTATTGTACTAGAATAGTCACTAAATTTGGCACTAATTTAATGCTAACATAAAAGCCAAAATTCAATTCAATATCAATATCAAATAAATTTTTTATAACAAACTGGCTTTTAAGTTAATATTGTAATTCTGAATATAAATTTGTACTAATTTATGCTAATATAAAAAGCCACTTTAATTTAAAGTTCAATTAATTATAGAAATTAAATAATTTTCTTACAATTTACTTTATTTATATATTTAAACCCGGATTATATGCATATATAAATTAAGTCATCAAAATTAACAATACCAAAAAACCTGTTCTTGTATAATTTTTGTATTACAGATTATATAGAATAAAGCTGCGGATCTTATTAAAGAATTAATATAATGACTTTATTTGTTTTGACAAATCCAAATCATATGTAATTTCCAACTTTGATTATTGTAAAATATCATTGCTACATATTGGCAGTTAATTGATTAATTTTCTTTAAATTATGATAAAAATAATAAATAACCAAATTAAGTATAAATGAAAGAGTAAAAAGCCATATATAAAATTTATATTGATCAGTATTAGTTATACGCTTACTAACATCATCATTAATATTTTTTATACTTTTTTCTAGGTTAATTTTGCAAACTTCAGGTTCATTTGTTGGTGATTCACTGTCCAAAAAATCTTCAAAAGATTCAAAAATAATTGTGACTATATAAAATTAAATAATTAGTTTCTCTTTTATCATTAAATTTTAATTATAATTTTTACTTTGAGACACATTATCATTTTTAAGTAATAACTGAAAAGAAATTGGATATAATTCATGATAAATTTCTTTTTGATTGGCTGGAAGAGGTATTTCCTTGGTTCAAATAACATTTTTATTTATTTTATAATTACTGAATTAGAAAAGAAATGAAGATAAAATTTAAGTATAGTATTTCTTTTGGTAAATGCAAAATTTTGAACTACCACAAGAGTCAGTTGATAAATTTATAATTTTGACAAATCACATGTAATTTTTTGTATCCAAATCATGACTCAATTGCCGAGTCAACTTATGATTTTACCAAATATTAATATATATCATTATTTATATAATCATATAATCATGTGACTTTTAATACAATCTTTACTGGTTGAAATCATGTAAAATTTTATTTGGCTTGCATGATGCTCCAAAAAAAGATCGAAAATTCGTATGAGTTATTGACAATTGACTAAGTAATTATCTCAGTAATTTCGAATGTATTCAAGCCATATTTTAAAATAAAACTAAAGTTCAATTCAATTATAGAAATTATATGATTTTTATAAATTTTACTTAATAAAATTTATATTGTCACTATTTAATAATAACAATACCTAATTTAAAATCGAAGACAAAATTTGTTACATGATTCTATCTTAAGTCAAATCCTAACAAAATTGACTTAACAAGATTTTGACCACTACTATAAACCAGTTTTTCAAGAATTAAAAAATTCAGCCAGAATTATTTAATAATTTTACTAATGAAATTTCATCTGCCATAAAGTAAAAATTGTTTCTAGGCAATTCTATCATAATGTAGGCTTATTTTTTAAAAAATATCTATTTTTGTAATGAAAAAAAAATTAAAAAGTTAATTTTAGCTGGAAATTAGTAAATAATTATGTAATGCAGGCCAAAATTTTGAAAATCTTTGATTGTTAGTTAATCTTAATTAGAATTTTTTAAGACCTAAATAAAGCATGACAACCTTTGTGAACTAAACATTAAACAGATAATATAAATAATGTTCAACATAAAAGCCACTCTAATTTAAAGTTCAATTTTATTATAGAAATTACATGATTTTCATACAGTTTACTTTATCAATACTATATATTATTTAATGATTTCAATTCAAAAATAAAAACCGGATTACATGCAAAAAAGCCTGTTCTTGTTGTAATTCCAGCAGGCAATATAAAAAATTATAGTACAAATTACTGAATTATAATTGAACCTACATACCAAAAACATAAAAATTTTTAAAACCTAAATAGTAATATCAATAAAATAAATTTTAAAATTAATATTTTATATTGAAACAAATTTTGCTTAAATAAATAAATTACAATAATAATTAATATTATACTTAAGTTGACTTAACATTAATGACTAGTCTAATTATATATAATAAATTTATACACTTCATAGTTTTAACCCTTCTATAAATAGTTATGATTGTTGTTCTTGAGAATTCAAGAATTTTCATTCTGAAAAATATCTTCTTCAAAAAGAACTAGAAAAGTTTATAGTATTGAAGAAACTCCAGATCATTGATTCAAATGTCCTAGTTCTGGATGTTACTGTTCATTTGTAAAGGATGAAAAGCTAAAGAAGCACCTACAAGACATCCACCTCATAACAGTAAAAAAAATAAGGCATAATCAAAATGCAAGACAAATTCAGCATGATTATGATAACAATACTTTCTCTTTCAAAAGTAATATATGCAAACAACTTGATGAAATTAATAATAAGCTAAAGATTGCTGAAGAAAAATACCTACAATTAACTGAAAACAGGCATTCTTATTTTGTAAATTCGGCCAATGTCGAAATAGTATTAGCTTATTAAAAGTGGAGATCAGTAGATTCAACAAGAAGCAAATTCATTAACTTAATAGTATTTTGGTTAATAAAATTACTACTAGTACATATTATTAACTATATTTTGATCAAAATTACTTTAGTGTAAAGATGTGAACCGAACATTAAACGGATAATATAAATAATCTATAGTTTACTTTAAACCAGTGAATATTCATAAATTTAAAGTAACTCATAGATTATTTATATTGTTTAAAATTTACAGGTTACATTATTACTTTAGTGTACTAACATTACTTTTCACACATGATCATGTATAATATATACTTTTTGGTAATTGCCCTTAATAGCGACACTATTGTATCATTCAATTATTAACTTTTTTTGTTTCTTGTAGAAGAAAAAGAAAAGGTAGCAACACTTGTAAAAAGTAAGTTTATTTTAAATAAAATAATTGTTATAAATAGCTACTGAAAAATTTAGTTTCTATTTAAATATTAGACTTCATGAAGAAATTAAAACACTTGTGAATGACTTTAATAAAAAAAATAAAATAATAAAGGAGTTAAAGGAAAAATATATAAATTTAATTGTGAAATATCTCATGCTTAAAAAAAATTATGATACTGCAATAATTATTACACAGAAAGCAGATGTTTGCTTGAAAGAGAAAATGATATATTAATATGCCGCATAAGTTTTTTTGCTTAATAAGATATGTATTAACTACATTCACTGTATTTTAATATTTTATTATAGAATTTGGAATTTTTTGAGGAGACTGAAGTAACTAAAACAAGAAATCATGAGCTAGAAAATAATTTACATTTATTAGAGCAACAGGTAATTTTTTTTTTTTTACAGTATTAGATATCATTATATTGTATATTAAATATTTACTATTTCTATTATATTTAGAATATAGAATTATCTAAAGAAATCGAAGAATTGACAAACAAAGAAGCGACATTTTCTGAAGTTGTCTATATTATAGATTAACTTGTTTGAAATGATCTTTTGTTAGACTAGTACATTGAGATGTTCTTTGAAAAAAAATAAAGTTTCTTAATATTATATATGAGATAATAAAGTAATAACTGGTGGACTAGCATTGTTATTGTTTATTGTTGCCAATCATTTGATATCTTTCTTCTGGTAATATCATTATACTTAAGTTTTAAATTATGGGTGTCTTTATATATATTAATTATTATTACTTTTATAATTATATGAATTGTATGAAGAATCTTGCTATATAATTTTCAAAGTAACTGTTAATCAGATGTTATGACTACTGCTCAAACAAACACCATGTCAGAAAGAAAAGAGATTTGTCAATGTCTCAAGAGAAGTATAAATTTTATGTCTTGGGCTTGCTTATTCATATATTCAGATATTCACTTTTGAGTTCTTTTAGCTCTTAGTTCATACCCTGATCTAAACTGAGCAGTCACTATGATGAAAGTCTTTTTTGGCATCCTAAATAGTTTGCAATAAAGGGGTCAGGTAGAACTTTATAGAATGGGATAGGCAAAGTTGCCAGAAATCTAATCTTATGATTTTGAAATAGTATCATGTTTCTGGTGACAGTGATGCACTCTCATTGTCAATATATTAGATACTACTCAAACCTCTATGATAATACAAATAAAATATATTAATTCTGAGAAGTTTAGCAAAAAAAGTTTCATACATTCAAGAAATCATGCCAATGATATACAATTATTCATATTTTATTAATTTTTATTTAAAAGAAATTTTTTTTATTATTTATTGCAACAATTTCATTTCAAAAATTTTTAATTAAATTATATATTAATATTTATAATAAAAATGATTAAACAATAAAATTACAGATTTCACTTTCTAGTAGTTCTAGTAAATGATTACGAAATGCTGCTTCATAGACAAATGAGAATCTGTTTTTGGGATAAAATTTAATTATTTAAAACTTGTGTCATAATTATCAACTAACAATGAACATGACCAGAATAATCAATAATTACAGGCTTCATTGCTAGAGTATATCCTATTCACCAACTTCTCAAACGCATACTTTCTAATATTTTAATACAGAAAGGTTCTCTTTAATGCAGACAGGAACAGTACTACAGGAACATCGATAACTGATAGAGGAGAATGTTCAACCAAATGGTTGACCTGATGTGCTTTCAATTCTCTATTAGATTTCATTACACTGATATGGCAGCGTAACTTTGGATATACTATAACTCAACAAGTAATCAATAAGAAAACTTACCTATATAGTTTTGATCATTATATATATATTATACAGAGAAAAAGTTCATCCAGATCCATTTCAACTGATTTTTGAAAAGAGAAAAGATTTTTTATTTTTTTTCGGTTTAAATAAGGAATATATTCACCTTCTTTGTCTTGTATCCTCCTTTTATTTTAGGATGATGCAGAAATGTAAATTACGATCAAAGTGTTGTTAAAGTAATAAAGAGTTTTAGATTGCCACTATTTATAACATTCGTAACATGCTAAGTAAAATTGGGTTGTCACCTTTAAACTAATTAACTTATATTTTACGTATCCTGAAAATCTTCAAAATACTGATTTAAATAATTAATTGAAGGTTAAAAATTTTTTTTTCTTATTGTATTTAATTATTAATCTTTAAATTCAAATCTGATTATAGGTATTATTTAATTACAAAAAATGAATTAACCTCAATTGTTCTTATGTTTCACAATGATTTGTGCTGAATTTATTATTTAAAATATATATATAATTAATTCAAGGCCTCACCTTTAATACAAAATAATAATAATAATAATAATAAATACATTATTGCAATATACTTAATTATCAGCAAACATAAGAATTTATATGCCATCGTATCTTAAGCAAGCATATTTAATAAATTTAATAAGTAAAAAAGAAAACATAAATAACGATGTCTCTTTTTAGTTTAGTTAAAATAGACAAGTAAAAAAAAAAAACTTACACACCCAAACAAATAGGCATAAAAAATGAAAAACAGTAATTAGCTTAAATTCAAAGGAACGGCAAACATTTCGTAGTCTCCTCCTATGCTTAAGAGATGGAAAATCTACTAAAGATGATTGGCAATTACTCAATAATAAAATCTTTGAACAGAAATAACTTAGCAAAACTTAATCAAATTTGATAAAAATTTTTTAAATTAATTTTATAAACAAAAATACTGTTCCTAATGGATCGTCAGTACTGGCATGAAAAAAAAATTGATTTACATACCATTCCTAATAGGATATCCTTATGTCCAGAAAATTCCGAACTGCCGGCCAAAAGAATATGGGTCGTAGTATCTCAAAAATTCACTATATATCTAACATTAACAATTGTGTTCTATAAGTAAAATTTCATTCTGAAAACTTTTACTTAGAGGTCAGAAGTTAGTTATCATAGTAAATTTTTGTGTTATTTACGTTTTTTTACAATTTCTTATGTTTTTCGCGTTTGTTTTGTTACACAAGATCCTGTGATTTTATTGGATCCGGATAGGGTCGGAAGTGATCTTCAGCCCGGGATTTTCTGGACATAAGGATACCCTTCCTAATAGGGATCTTAAATCCCACCACCTACTCTTATTTAAGACTGCCATCCCGGCAGGCTACACAAATTATGCGTCGCTCTAATGCGGGTAATCGATATAACCAGAACGAAAGTTGGGTTCGCAGAAAAGACAAATTCCCGTTATTTTTCACTTACTAAATATACTAATATCCAATTAACTCATAATCAATTAATCAATCACCTCATACTTACTAATCACTCTAACCATACTTTCATCAATTATCTTATTAATAATTACCTATTACCTCATGCTACCGATCAATCGAACATGTGATCGTAACCGGGTCTGTCACATGTTCGATCGGATGGCACATGATTTGAGACAAAAGCTGCCTCGATACTACATATCGAGCAGCTATTAAGGTCTTATTAAGGTAATTAAGGACTTAATATAACTGCTGATACTTGTGCCTCATTTTTGTTCTGTTAAAGTTATTTAAAGGATGTGAAGTTGCGGTTATGACACTTATAATGAACGTAAAGGTTTTTAAGGGCGATCTTAATTTGTACTCACAGATCAATTAATTAACGCGCAAGTGGGCGTTATTTCGCGCTTATACAGTACCATATCTGTTATTAATTTGATTAGTGTATAACAATACATTCAGTTCAATGACTGTTTTCATGAGAACAGAGCACTAATTTTGAACACGACGATTAACTTTAGTTTACCAAAATTGTACTTATCTGTCATTAATTTAACTCGTGCATAATGATACAAAGGTTTTTAAGGGATGCATATTCGATCTTAACTTATACTCGCATATCAATTAATTAATGCGCAAGTGGGCGTTATTTCGCGCTTATACAGTACCATATCTGTTATTAATTTGATTAGTGCATAACAATACATTCAGTTCAATGACTGTTTTCATGAGAACAGAGCACTAATTTTGAACACGGCGATTAACTTTAGTTTACCAAAATTGTACTTATCTGTCATTAATTTAACTCGTGCATAATGATACAAAGGTTTTTAAGGGATGCATATTCGATCTTAACTTATACTCGCATATTAATTAATTAACGAGCAAGTGGGCGTTATAATGGTGCATATGATAGTTTATTTATGTGTAACAATACATCAAATTTTAGCAATTAACGAGACCGTTAATGGTAATTTTCTGTGAACCGATATGCACCAGTAAAATATCCGCATAATCCGACAGGGGGTGGTTTGGACCGTAAAATACAGTAACGGTAACTTTAGTTTACTAAAATTGTACTTATCTGTCATTAATTATCGTGCATTGTGATTGCTTATAAAGTAACTAAGAACTTGATGTAACTGCTGGTACTTGTGCCTCATTATTATTCTGTTAAAGTTATTTAAAGGATGTGAGGTTGCGGTTATGACACCTTAAAGGTTTAATAGATTGGTATAAAAAATAAGCTCTATAAACTCTTAAAAAACAAAACTTTTTTCCAGAACTATCAGCTTTTATTAAAGGGTTGACCATAATTTACCATGAAAATATACTATCCAGTAATTTTATTATTGCTTTCACTACCTTTTTCACTACAAATATTTCTACCTATCGATAATAGTCCATGCACTAGTAATTATGGATGCCATAAAGGCTATTGCTGGGCTGGATGCTCAGTATTTGGAACTGTTAATGGCGCAGAATGGTGTTATACTTCAAAGAGCAATGGTTATGTGAAGTGTGGATCCGATAATGATTGTGATGGATGTTGGTTGTGCGGAGGTGCTTGTACTATTTAAAACTAAAGTCATAATGATGAATGATGTACTTTTATATTATACAATGTCTTTAGAATTTCTTGTAACACCTTTTTATATTTTTCTTCCCATTTGTTATATCATTAAGAAATATTTTTAAAATAGTGCTAGATATTTAATTGAAATTTTTTTTTATATATAATAAATCTATATCATCTAATTTTGAGTCTGTGCACTTTACCATTTTGATTGGTTGTATCCTGAAAATGTGATCAAGTGTGATTCGATTATGAAATTTGGTGAGGAAAAAACGTAACTTTTTATATAAAAATTACTGAATGAAAATTTTCTAAGTACAAAACTCTAAAAAGATTCACATTAATATTGCACATATTTAATTTCTTTTGACTGAAACTCTTTGTAAGAACTGTTTCATCAGTAGATCAACTTTCAATTTGCTTTATTAATTGAATTGATAATTTTATTAGAGAAAAATCAATTGTAATAGATTTATATATTTTTGTCCTATAAATGGGTTATGATAATTCAATTATATTCAATAGAATAATTAAATGTTAAATTCATAGCAAAAGAATCTCAGCATTGACGGAGATAATAACAAGAATTTGATTTCGTCAAGAGTCAAGGTTTTTTTTTTTACATGTTTGCAACAAATAAAAACATTGGGCTTCAAGATCGTCAATAGTAAAGTTGCCGCTCGATATTTAAAGAAGAAAAATTGGATTGACGGATATATTACAGGATTCGATCGAAAGAAGAATAAATGGAGTAGAAAGGGGCAAATAGATGTTTGTTTAAATGGCCTTGATAATTCTAAAGATATAAAGCAAGAATTTTTAGAAGAAGTAAGTACAGTATTACAATTTGTTTTTATCAAAGTGTAGTAATCTTGCAGTATTTATCCTATTTAATATTTTATTAGGTTAAAAATCAACATAAACATGGAGGCGAATCGGCAATTGCGATTTATGGAATAACCAAGAATCCAAAAGATGGTAATTACATGATGGTTATGGAGTATGCAGAGCAGGGAAGTCTCAGAAAATTGTTAGATAGTAAATTTGGTGAATTAGATTGGGCTTCTAAAGTAGTTAACTTATATTTCATAGCTGATGGGCTTAATACAATTCATAAAGCCAAATTAGTGCATAAAGATATTCATTCTCAAGTTCTAAAGCACTTTCTGGTGTGCTTCCCTATATTGCTCCAGAGGTATTATATACAAATGGAAAGGAATACACTCAAAAATCAGAATTCTATTCTTTCGGAATAATTACGTCGGAAGTTTTTACTGGATATCCTCCATATAATGATATTCCACACAACGAAGAACTAGCAACGCGCATTTGTCTAGGTTATAGACCTAAAATTAGATGCGAAGTTCCTCAATTATTTTTGGATCTGATGAATAAATGCTTAGACGCGGAACCTCGAAACAGACCAACTGCTGAAGAATTAGCTAATACGTTGAATAATTTTTTTAGAGATTTAAAAAATAAAAGGACTGAATTATATAAGCAAGTTAAAAATATTAAAGACTTGACAAAAATTTCTTATATGATCAAGTCAAATCGACACGATTCAAATATCAGACACATCCACAAGCTATTTATACAAGTCGATTTTTAAATCTTTCAAACCTCCCTAAACCAGGTAATATCACATATTTTTTAAAAAGTTAGTAATATGTCATTAATTGTAAAAATTTCTGAATCTGTTAATATAGTAAATGCAGGTAATGATATTTATTTTCTCAAATTGAATTCAAACTGTAGTTTTAATATATTTATATGTATATATTTTAGCAAGTCAACCCATTAAATATGTTGAAGTTCCCGACGGTAAGTAATATCTGATTTGCTTATAATTAACCAAAAATTTATTGCTTATTTTATATTTATATTTAGATTATTAAATCAAGTAAAAGGAAGTAATTGATTTGGGGACATTCTATTTTATTATTTCCATACTACAATAATTCAGCAATTGTTATGTATCTTTATGTATAGGTACGTATCTAAAGAGAAAAAAGATATATACCAATTTCGCAAACAACTGGTTTGCAGACAAAGTTGACCGATTTAAGTTAGGATGGCTCTCTGACTTAAAGTTTATTGCTGGCTAGATTATATAATAAATATTATTAAATTTAAGTATATAAATTTATATTAACATAATAAATCTTAAAATTAGCTTTATTACTGTTGTTGGTGGTACTCTTGTTATCTTAAATGATATATGGGAGGTCCCACAGCAAAAGGTGGCGATGGGCCAGCCAATCAGATTTCAAGATTTTATGATGATCATCTTCTTAGAGGTCCGGGGTTTCATAAAAATATTTTTTTTTATTATAATATATTAGTAAAAAATTTACAAATTTAATTTTTTGTTCTCACGTTTGTTGAAAAAAAATCCAAGAAAAATTGATCTACAACGTACGTATATACGTACGTACGTGCATACATGTTAATGCCCAATTGTTATCGAAATTGTACTAGTCCAATACCAGTACCAATATATAATTCGAATTGCATAATAGCCAGACTATTTATAATACCAAATTCTTGTATAAGCCGATTTAAATGTATAGGTTAATTTGTACGAACTACTATCAGCTATCTGTTATAGTACATACGTACGTATGTTTATACATACGCAAAAGTTTTATTCTTAATTTCAGAATTTCAGCAATCAAAATGGATTATAATATACGTTCTAATGATCATTATGCAAACGACGTTATTTTGACTGCATTAGAAGACTTAGAGAATATGTTTTTTGTTGAATCTTCAGATTATGAAGAAAGTAATTCTATATCGGATAATGATGATAATGAAGAAGTTCTTGATATTAGTGATGATATTAATTTAGATAGATTAAATGAATTTGAATTTGTAGAAGCTTCTAACAATTATATTGAAGATAAAATTTATAATAATTTGAAATTAATAGTTAAAAAATTTTTTGAAAAAAAAAATGTTCATATACTAAACAAACCTGTTTTACTCAAATTGGTTATGAGTGGTTTCTTGTATGTCGAGTTGGATTTGAAAGTTTGGATAAAACCATGTGGGATATGGTTATTAAAGGTCAACTTATGGCTTTTCAGAAAGAAGATAACACAAAAAAAACCTCTAGTGATAACAGAAAGTATTTTCATCTTAATTATTATTATAATAATGACATTCAAATTTGTTATAATACATATTTGGCTCTTGCAGGTGTTAGCCATAAATACTTAGAAAACATTAAACAACATTTACAAGACCATGGTCTTGAAGAACATATACACAGTAATACAGGTAGAGCTCCAAAAAACATGAATCGTATTGAAGTAAATTATAATGTAGCATGTGAAGTATTTAAGTTTTTAAAAAACTATTCTGATGTGTATGGCCTGCCCTCACCTGAATGACATTTTAGAGAAATTTCTATGCTGATTGTGTTCCTTCCTACTAATTATAACTATGCTTCAGTCTATCATGATTATGTTCAGGCTTATAAAGATAAGTGTAAAGAAGATGTTCATATTATGGTTGAGTCAACTTTTACTAATATTTAGAAAGTCTTAATACCATCTCTTCAATTTATGTCTCTGAAATCTGACTTATATGAAACTTGTGAATTAATGAAAATGGATATCCAATATGTCACACAATATGAAAAAAAATTAGAGCTTATAAAAAATTATCTGACTCATTTGGATCATGCACAAGAAGAATGAGATTACTATAATAAAAACATTACAAATGCAATTGAGGATGACAAATACAATCAAAACATAATCAAATCTCAAGTATCATTTAAAACCCTTGAAGGCATGGCTCATATTGCATATGAATGGGCTCAAAACATACAAATTTCTTATTCATCACAACAAGTAGGAACATTATATTTTAAAAATTCCTGAAAAGTGCATTTGTTTGGTGTTTGTAATACTGGTAATTTTCTACATATATAACAAACTAATTATGTAATTGATGAAGCTGAAATGCCTGATGATGATAAATAAGAAAAAGATATAAATTGTACTCTAAACTTGGTTTGACATGCTATTCAAAAATATAATCATGGAGAAAAAAGATTAGTTGTTACATGTGATAACTATGTAGATCAAATAAGAATTATTATTCATTGTTTTTTTATTCGTGGTTAATTGATTGTAGTATATATAATGAGATTAAGTTAAATTTTATAATACTTGAACATACAAAATTTATTTGTAATGGTTGTTTCAGCATAATTAAAATCCTTTATCAAAAAAGTAGAGTGAATACAGTAGATGATGTAGTCTTAGTTATTAATCGTTCTACAACAATTAATTTTAATATTGCTCAGTGTTATCTTAATGGAAAAGGTTTTCAGTATTATGATTATAAAACTTATTTTCAGACATTTAAAAAATTACCTAATATATCAAAATACCATCATTTTTACTTTACTTCACAATATCTTGGAATTATTTATCACAAAGACAGTCTTAAAGATAATTACACCCCTTTTACAATATGATCTTTTCTCTTCGATATCAATATCCTACCCTCTACAATTAATTTCAAGCCACTTTTTTTTAAAAGGCAAGAAGAATTGTATAAAGAAATTGCATCTCATGTTGATTTACCTTTTTGTGATATTACTTGTTCAAAACTAGGAAAATTAAAAATGACTACAAATTAATTTAAAAGTTTTATTTATTGTGAATATAAAAGTTAATCATACACTAACAATAATTATTAGATTGAACTGTGAATACAAAGTATAATGATAAATGATTAGTATACTATTGAAGTAAGGCAAGAGTTGAACATAAAAATGGTTGAAACAAAGAAAAAGAGTGTAATGCAAAAAAAAAAGAGTAAAACAAAAAAAAAAAGTGTAACACAAAAAAAAAGTTTTTTTTTAAAAAAAAAGAAATATGCATCATAATAGATAATTAAAATTCAACAAAAGCTGAGGATTAGTACCTGTCAATTTTAAGAATGATTAAAATATTAAAAAAAAAAGATTTCGTGATAGAATTTTATGTGCCACAAGACAAATTTTGAACTAGCACGATTTTAATTATTAAAGAATGTATCGAAGTTATATATTTTCATTTTTAAAATTTAGAAAAAATAAAATGTATTATAAAGATATCAATGCTTTAAAAAAAGTCTATAAAAAATTTAACACTAGTTTATAAATGTCATTTTTAAAAAATTTGACATGATTTTCATGTTATCTAATAATGATCACATAATAATCAAATTGCAATTTTCTTACAATCATGTGATTACCCTATCACCACCTTTTGCTATGAGACCCCTTATATATACAAATATATTTTTTAAAAAAAAGCTATATAAAATTAAAATCAAAATCAAAATTATAATTTATCATGAAATTGTGATCAATAATCAATTCTCAAGATAGTATCTAGTTAAAAATAAAATAAAGTGAAAATTATCCTCCTTATATTTTCTAAATGAAATTTAAATTCATTTAGCCATTATTAAGAACTATATCAAAATATGTAAAAAAAAAAACCAACTTCTAAGCAATGATTGGATCGAAAACAAATTAGTTTAGATATATAATGAAAAGTCAATCTATATTTAATAAAATAGGTAGATGAAAATAATTAAATGTTAAATGTATAACTATAATATTTGGTTCATAATGCAAAAAGAGTCTTACATTAAGTTTACATAGATAATAATGTGGCAAATTTCAAGTTTGATTTCATCGATAGTCTTAAAACACTATTTTCAAAATAAGATACTTCAAAAAGTTTTGCTATAAAAGGAAAAAAAACATAGATAGTATAAAAAGATGAAATAATAAAATTTTTTTTGATATAACAAAAATACCAATTAAATTGTAGAATATAAATATTGGCTTATAGATGAAAACTATCTTTTTTCACAAAACATATAGATTGCCATAAAATTTTATATGTGCTGTGACTTGTAGATCTCTTAATTAAATTATTACTGACTGTTTGAAATTTTTTATTTATTATAAATTGGGTTTGTTGTATAATGAAATCTTTTAGTAATTCAGTAATTGAAAAAACATAATAAAAAATAGAAAATTGAGATCCAGTTTGTGAATGTACATATCTTGATGTATGTTATTTGATTCCTTAATTATTTTGTATCTCACCTGATGAATTCAAGACATTTTCAATTAATTAATAATTAATTACTAACTCATCAAATGAGATAATTTTTAGAAATCTGATACCTTGAAAATTTAAATTAATCTATTTATACATTAAGTTTTATCTGTAATGATTGTAAATTACTTTTAAGTTTTCTTATTAATTTAGCCAATAAGTGCAACAATTATTTATTAATCGAAGTATTTGATAATCCTGATTAATTTCTTATTAATGCTAATTTAGTTAATAGATCAGTTCAAAATGCTTCCTGTTGTATTAATATAGTTTGAAATTCATAGCATTACTATACTATTTGCACTATAATTTTTCAAAATTTATACAAATACAATCACATTAACCAGTTAAATTTTATATTTTTATAATTTTAAAGTTAATAAAATTGCTTATCATTGTAGTTAACGATTTTTAAATTTACATGTATACAGCTTTTTTACTTTGATCTAAAATTCATACAAATTATGTATCTGTTGAATATTTGCAAATTTGAATTATTCGATAAATTGCATTATACAGTGTTAACATTTGAATATACCTTAACAAAAAAAATATATCAATATTTATAAAATGAAAAAATTTAAATTCGAATTGATCATTTTTAATCTTTGTGCCAACTGCATTAAAATAACTTTTTATTTATAGAAATACAATGATCTTATTCAAGTTGAAAAGTTAACAGATTGAAAAGATGGCTAGGCAGGGTCAGATCTGTAACTGTAGCCATTACAGTTATTATATAAATCCTAGAGACATTTATAAAAATTCGAGTTGGCAAAAATCAACTAATTAAAAGATGGCTAGGTGGGAATATGCCAAAAGCAATTCAGTGTTATTATCAATTAGAGAGTGTCAAATAAAAATACAAGATAATTCAGGATGAATACATAGGATGGACAATAAAATATGTCTAATCAGTCTCAGATATATAAGAATTCAGCAAATATTCAAGTATGCCAAATAAATAAAGTATGCAATACAAACTAAAATAAATAATTGGCAAGAGATATAATATAATCAGAAATATCACTCATAAGTTTATTATAAAGAAGTAAAGAGCCTAAAAGACAAGCAAAGTATAATTATTTAAAAAATTAAAACACTTTGTGTAAACTACTGAATGTAGACTATCAGCATCATAATAATAATGTCTTCATTGTTAGGGCCAAGAGCAACTATTTACAAGAAGCAAATTTGCACCAATGCCCTCACAAACTGATTCAAAAAACCTTTTATGTTTTTTTTTGTTAAGTTCTTTTGGTTAGCATGAACAAATTTCATTCCAAATTTTGTACATACTAGATATTCTTTCAGAATACAATTAAAAAAATATATAACATTATCACTATATTACTAATCACACCCAAAAATAAAAGTTTATTACTGCCACATCAAGAACTTAGGTAACAATTTTGTATAACAATAGTAACAATCATTAGTTATAAATATATTGATAATTAATTGCTGTTTTTCCTTTATTATTACCTACAAATAGTTAATTTACATTAATCTTACTAGAAATAGGTTTTATAATAAAAAAACTTGCTTCAGCTTTTGATAAAAAACGAATGCTTATGTTTATCCTTTTTAATGCCAACTTCATTCTGACAGCAGTATCTAACCTGGTGTATTCCATTAGCATTACCTATTTTTGTAGATTTTTTAATAAGAAAAATCCCTAATTTTAACTCTAATTTTATGACAATATATACATTCATTCTTTTTAACTTTAATTACATTCCGGTAACAGTATCCATCAGCATCTACAGATCTTGATAATAAAGAATGCCTTATGTTTATCTTTTTCAACACTAGCTCTATTCTGACAACAGTATCCAGCCTAGTGTATTCTATCAGCATTACTCATTTTTGTGGATTTTTTTGATAAGAAATGGATTCTCTATGCTTGATCCTTTAAATTTCAATTCCATGGTAATTTAACATTCAATCTTTTTAACTTCAATTATATCTGGTAACAGTATCTAGGGATGGGTTCAGTCAGCTATTATTGACTATCAACTAATAGCTGGCTATAGCCAGCTATAACTGATCAATTACAGAACATTTTTTAATCAATTTTAATCAAACATATAAACAAGTGACAAATAATTATATTTTATATATTATACAGTTATACAATATTAGAGTACCCTAGTCATGTGCAAAAAAAAATTCAGATCACATGCTATAAACAGCCAATCAAAATGATCAACATATTGAAGATCTACATTTTCAAAGTCTAATTCTGATCAACTTTGCAGATTGTTTGGCCAATTGGGATGAGTTTAAAACCCATCCCCCAATAGGCTAAACGATCTGCAAAGTTGACCAGAATTAGATTGTTTTGAAAATGTAGATTAATTATATGAAATTTTGAAATACTTTCAAGATTATAGCAAATACTTCTCTGTAACTGTTCAGTAAAATTTTTTTAAATATATGATTAAAATAAAAAATTTTATCGAAATTTTATAGATAGTTGTTGAGAAATTTTCACTAAAATTTAAAAAAAAAATATTCAAATTTTACAAAAAAATTGGTAAATTTTCTTTTTTTTTTTAACTTTAAATAAAGATTTCTGATGAATTTTTTTTATTTTAATTCTGTAAGTTTGTAAAATTAAAATAAAAAAAATTATACATTTTTATTAAAATTCTGGATTCTTGTAAATCATTGACAAAAAATGATCAATTGTCAGATAAAATATGCTTGTCTTTTAGTATCTTACAATAAAACACATTAGCTATCTAGATTTTTAATTTTAATTAGCTAAATGCCATAGTCTACAAAATTTTAACCTGTATTATAAAATTGTTACATAACTTTTAGCTGGAATTAAGTTTTCAACTTTTTTATTACAATAATAGTACATTATAGTAAAATTAGTTTAAAAACATTTTTCACCTAATGGGCAGATGTGATTTCATTAGTAAAATTTCAAGTAATTTCAGTCTAAAATTTTTATTATTAGTCTTAGCCAATCAAAATCGAGAATCTGCTATAACGAACATCTTGGGTATTTCTTGTAATAATTCTGTAATTTGTGCTCTTCATACCAAATTAAAGCAATAATTATAACTTATCAGCCAGGAAATAAAAAATTTAGTATCAGCTAGCCAGTTAGCTAAGCTAATCTAGTTGACTATTATCAACTACATTTATAGCCAGTTAGCTAGCCACCTATAACCTAACAGAACCCATATCTAACAGTATTTAATCTGAATTAGCATAACTATATCTGCAGATTTTGATAAGAAATAAATACTTTATGTTATTTTTTCCAACATCAACTTTATTCGATAAAGATACAGTATCTAACCCATCAATATTATCCATTTTTGTAAATTTTTTGATAAGAAACAAATTCCCTATGTTGATTCTTTCTATGTCATATCTAACATTCATTCTTTTCAACATTCAGATAACAGTATCATAGCATTGCCTATCTCTACAGATATTTAATAAAAAATAAATGCCTTGTATTCATCCTTATTAACATCAACTTCATTCTGGCAATTGTATCCAAGCTGGGGTGTTCCATCAGCATTACCCATTTTTGTAGATTTTTTGATAAGAAATGAATTTTCTATGTCTATCCTTTTTCAACTTTAATATATCTAACATTCATTCTATTCTAGTAACAGTATCTATTAGCATCATTTATATCTACAGATTTAATAATAAAGAACCTTATATTCATCTTTTTTAACAATATCCAACCTAGTGTATTCCATTAGTGTTATCTATTTTTTGTAGATTTTTTGATAAGAAATGAATTCTATATGTTTGACTCTTTAAATTTCAATTTTATAATAATATTCTTTTAACTCTAATTATATTTCAGTAACAATATCCAATCTGAATTAGTATAACTACCTTTGCAAATTTTCGATAAGAAATGAATTCTATATAATTCTGGTAAAGGTATTCAACCTAGTGTATTCCATCAATATTATTCATTTTGTGGATTTTTTAATAAGAGCTTAATTCTATATGTTGGTTCTTTCAACTTCAATTTTATAACAATACCTAATATTCATTATTTTCAACTCTAATTCTATTCTAGTAACAGTAACAGCATCTATTAGTGTCATAGCTTTAATAAGTAAATGCCTTATATTCATTCTTTTCAACATCAACTTTGTTTGGCAACTGTATCCAAGCTAGGATGTTTCATCATCATTACCTATTTTTGTGAATTTTTAATAAAAAATGAATTTATTATGTTTATCCTTTTCAATTTCAATTTTATAACAATATCTAATGTTCATTCTTTTCAACTTTAATTTTATTCTGGAAACCTGGAATTTTCTATCAATGTACAAATTTTGGATAATAAAAAATGCTTTATGTTTATCCTTTTCAACACCAACCCCATTCTCTAACATATGTGTTCTAATAGCATCATTTGTCTCAGTAGATTTTGATAGTAATCAAATGTCATGCCTTGTGTTCATACTACAATTCCTTTCCGATAACAATCTGACCTGGAGTTTTATTAGGTTTTGCCAATATCATTTTGGCATAAATTAGGTTAGAATAGCTTAAGTTAATATGTTAATTTTAATGTAAAAAAAATTATATAATAAGTATTAATAATATATATGTAAATAAATATAAAATATAAATAAATATAAATAAATAAATAAAAATACAAATAAATAGCATTACATAGTATATTGGTATCAAGTTATATAGTAAAGTAATATACTATCAAATTTTTTACCAATAGGCTATAAAATGTGTCTTAAAGATTATTGGAAAGTATCTGCTAAAAAGCTAATATTATTTGAATATTAAATAAAATAGGGTACATATCAGTTAATTTAAAAGATCAATTAGTTTTTTGTTATTGTAATGATAATCATCTTATATAATTCTGAAAAGTCTCGTATTTGTGCCAAATATCGATTTCGAATCAGATATTTATCAGAAACATTTTAGGTCTATCTATCAGATATATTTCATATTAATTGTATACCTATAGAAGGCCTATTGGGATCCAGATTGGTATTCAGTATGGTTTAGTTCGACCTGTGATGGTTGTTAAGAAATCTTCACTAAAATTTTAAAAAACATTCGAATTTTACAAAAAAGCAGTAAATTTTTCTTTTTAAATTTAATTCTGTAAGTTTATTTTGTAAGTTTATAGAATTATATAATTAAAATAAAAATTATTAAAATTGGATATATTTTGCAAACAGTGATTATTTATTGTTATCAAAGTTCTGTATTCTTACAAATTATTACTCAATTGTTAAATAAAGCATGTCTTCTTTACTATTTTAGCACAAATTTTGCCATGGTAGATGCTCAATTTTAATTAACTAACTGCAGTAGTCTACAAAATTTTGGCCTGCATTATATTATTGTCATGTGATTTTTGGCCAGAATTAAGTTTTTAACTTTTTTATTATAAAAATAGAAATTCTTAGTGAAACATGTCTATGCTAAGGTAAAATTAGTCTAGAAACATTTTCACTTAATATGCAGCTGTGATTTTATTAGTAAGTTTTGGGTAATTTCAGTCTAAATTTTTGATTATCACTCTTAGCCAATCAAAATTGAGAATCTGCTATGATGTAACAGCTATAATTTTTGTTAGAGAATATATCAAATTAGAACATCTGATTCTAGAATGATCTATATGTTAATTTTCACATTTGATTGGTTCTTGTGCATGTTTATGCAACTATTTCTTGGAAATTTTTTATTTGTTTAATTCATTATTACAAACTTACAAATATATAGATGCATAATAGGTTGTGGAAGACATTTAGATTAAATAATCTACAATAATTCACTCTGTTTTATCTTTGCTAGAAAAGTAGATAAGAGCTGAAATCTGAAGTTCTGTTTTGTATATAGATGCTTAATCTTACTAAAATAGTGTTTAGTAAACTGCTTTTATTTGGCTGTGTTTGTGCTTAATTCTACAGTACAGAATTATAGAACATTTATTAAAACAAACTTTTCTACTATGAAAGATGAAAAGTTTAATCTGCATTGAGTTGTTAATAATTATAAATTTATTTGAGTACTGTCAAGAAAAAATGAGACTTTAGACTTCAAATTTATTATTTATTATTTATTGAATTTAGTCTTATACTAGCTCTTAAGACCTGGGCATTGCCCAGGTTTAAGTTTCTAATTTTTCTTTGTTTTTGATTTTTAATATTATAATTTTTTAATTTTTTTTAATTGTTTTTTAATTAAATTTTTAGCAAATGCAGATATTGAAATGTAGTTATTAGCTTTAAATTATTATATGTAATTTTTAACTTGATTTGAAAAATATTCTTATAATATTAATATATTCACTATTATATAATTTTTTTTGTATAACAGATACAGATATTGAGATATAGTTGTTAGATTTGAATTATGTATATGATTTTAACTTGGTTTGAAAAATTTCTTATAATGTTAATTTATCCACTATTATGTGATTTTTTTTTTTTTATGTAGTAAATACAGATATTGACAAAATACATTTTTTACCTTTTTAATGATCCTATATACCAAAAATTACAACAAACTTTTTTTCCAAAAAACAGTAAACTATGGTAAAAAGAAAGAACCTAAGACTAATAAAAACTATAACCTGGCACTTGTTATTTAGAGTAGTTCTTATATGCTACCTGCTAACAAGCTTAGAGTTTATCACTCATTGTGGAGACAGCACTTGTTATTTAGAAGTAGTTCTCATATGCTACTTGCTAACAAGTTTAAGGTTTATCATCTACTGACAAGAAAATCAGCAATGAACTTGGCACTATTTGTTCTATTGCTTATAAAAAAAAACATATACTCTTTTAAAAAAAAGTACAAAAAAAATTTTCTTTACTATCACTTATCTCTTCTTTTAACAAAATTTTCATAAAAAGTGGGCAAAACAGCTTACTTCTGTCAAAAGATCAGCATTGTTTACTCTTTCTTAATTCAGACAACTCAGTAAATTGCAACCACATGTTTTGTTTACCAATGGATATGGTGCTACTTCACAGGACCTGGTTCTCAGTTAAAGAAATATCTAAAGATGGTTATATAGTCAGAAAGAAATTTATACATTAAGGCATAGCTTTACAGTAGAGATATACAAATATTGCATTTGTTATATAATTTTTTCAAGCCTTGCATGGTTATGATAGTGTATTCTTTATTTTCCAATTGGGTTTATATTCTTTCTTAGTTTTAGTTTAGTCTAGTTTTTGTTAGCTCTATAAAAGTTTTTCTCTTTGTTTTTCTTTTTTTACATTTCCTTATCACCTCTTTTATTTTTCTTTATTTTTTCTATCCTTTCTTCTTTTGCTTTTTTTTAGTTTTTTTTACTTCTTTTTTTTCTTGTTGTAAATCTTCTATACATTTGTATAAGGATTTTACTTTCTTTTATATTTAGTAAAGGAAGGAAAATCTTAAGAGTTTAGCTCTTAACAGGGCTAATAGAATCTTTTACTTTTTCTGAAATAGTAATGTGATAAATTATGCTAGTGGTTAACTATATGAAAGACCAAGCAATGCCAGATCTGTTATATGTGAATATTAGAGTAGATATTATATATATTTCTTTTATCTTTTAATAAAGGTATCAACAAGACTGTCAAAGAGTTAAATAAATAAAAAAAAAAAAATACAGATATTGAGATGTAGTTATTAGATTTGAATTATAGTATGTGATTTTTAACTTGCTTTAAAAAATATTCTTATAATGTTAACTTATTTGCTGTTATATAGTTTTTTTTTTTTTGTACAGCAGGTACAGATATAAATATGTAGCTATAAGATTTGAATTATTGTGTGTAATTTTTAATTTATTTTTAAAAAATATTCTTATAATGTTAACTTACCAACTTGTATTATGTAGTTTTTTTTTCAAGTTTACTAAAATGCATCTATGATATTCAATACTATAGGTCTCTATTTCTTAAAAACATACTAAGTAAACAGAATTGGGCATTCTAAGCAAAAATATTTAGGACTCCCAAAAACCTTACAAAACTAAACTTAGAACCTTATTTTTTTTTTTTTTTTTTTTTTTTTAAGATGAGGCCTTGCTCATATCTTTATTGAGTAATTTATATAAGTAATTATAGAAAATTTATAAAGAATTTAATTTGTATAATAACAAATAAATATAAATTACATGCAAGAATAAAAGCTCAGACTAAAAGCTTAAACAAGGAGTCAAACTAATTATCTGCGATCTAAACCTACTAGAGTGATCAAAGCTCACCTAGATTTGGATAGTTAGAATATGATTAATAGAGGTGCTGTATTTAGTCTACATAGTAGACCAGATATTAAATTTGTGGTTAGCAAGCCCAGAAGAAGAACATGTATTTGAATTAGAGTGAAGTTGGTCTGGAGTATTACAAGAGCAATTGTAAGTAAAAGTGTTTTTAGTTTTATTATAAGTGGGTGAGTGTTGTAAATAAGAAGATTGGTTATGAAAGAGATTGGAGGAGATTTGGTATGTTCTTTTCTATATAAAAAAGTTAATACAATATGTTTTTCATATTTGGTCATAGAGTTGATTAGAAATTTTAAGAAGGATTTGAATAATAAGCTGTGAAGCAAGAGAGTGTAGTATATTGAAGGTTTGTACAGATTGGATAAGTGGAATAGGGATAAGGCCATTGAGAGTAGACTGGAGAGAGTATGGGTAGAGTGAGAAAGACTGAAAAGAGAAGGATGGGTGAGAGGAAATAGTATGTTTTAAATAGTTGAGTTTGAGTAAAGAAATATTAAGATTGAATTTGGAAATGGTTTCATTAATACAAGAGTTAATGATTTGAGTTAGTTGGTTATAATTAGAACAGGTATACCAGTGAGATGAAGAGTCAAGAAGATTGCATTAAAAGCAGTTGGAGAATGAAAATAGGTCAGGAAATATAGAGTAACAGTAGAAGTGAGTAGGTAAATTGTTGAGCAAGATTTTGATTTTGAAAGATTTAAGATGGTTGAATTTAAGGTTGGTAAAGTTAGATGAGTTTTTTTGGTTGTTGTTAAAGTAAAGCCAAGTAGAGTTCCAATCAATATAGTGAGAAAAGTGTGACTATTCTTGGTTGCAGTTTTGAAAAGACCACATCACAATGGTTTTAGCTCTACAGATCTTTTTAATAAAGTATTTGACAGAGCTATCGATAGGGCAATTTTTCCATTTAAGAAAGAAATAAGGGTTATATATATTAGAATAGTTAAGTGTTAAAATAGGAGATAAAGTGTGATTGTTGACAAGCAAATCTGCTAGATTATTGAAAGTGTTGTTAGTATGGGCTTGAACTTTATAGAATATTAGCTTAATATTATGTGCTTGAAGTAAATTGAGAAGTATATGCCAAATAAGCCAAGAATTGAACTTAAGAGATTTAGAAGAAAAACAATAACTTGAAATAAGTTTGTTATATTTAGAAATTACAGATTGGAAGTCTGTATAGATATTAACAGAAGAGTTGTGAGAAAGGGTTGAAATAGCAGATAAGATAACAAAGAGTTTGGATTTGTAAGATGAGGGCCAGTTGATAATTTGGACAGAAAAGTTATAAATACAGTGTTGTTATAGATTTGGGCCCAGCCGATGCCCATAGTGCATTGGTTAGTACTGAAGTTTTTGACAGAGCCATCTGTGTAAAATGTGAAATGTTGGTAGGAGTTGTTAATCAAAGTAATTTGGATAAGATTTTCAGAGGTGTTGTTGTTGTGAAAAAGTGTAGGTATAACAGAATCAGAGATGTTGACAGATGGTAAAAGAGGAATATAAGATGGGTTTTTAATAGAGGCAGATAAAATAAGATCAATGTAGTTAGCATTAAGCTTAAGTTGATTGTTAGACTTTTTTTCTAAAAATTGGGTAGAAAGAATAGAAGACACCTCTAGTGTGCAGTAGTTAGCAATATGGTTAGAATTAAGGCTACAGCCTGAACAAGGTTTGCAAAAAATAGGTAAGAGGAGATAGTAGGGTAAGAGTGAAGTTGTAATATTGTGTTGCTAGTGGTTGATAGAGACTGTATTTGATTGATGAAAAATTTTGTAGATTTGTTCAATAATGATGTTATTGTTAGTACAAGTAAGTATCCAGAGTTTGGAGAATTTACTTATAAGGTTAGTTTGAAAAGCAAAAAGGTTATGTCCAGTAGGTTAAAAAAAGGGTATAATAGTGCAGTTAGATGTGTGAGATAAAATAGACTTTTTATAATAGAGAAACCAAGCTGGTTTTTTCCCTTTAGGAATGTGAAATAGTCTGGAAGATAAGTGTGACTAGTCAAGTAAGAATTGGTTGTCAGCTAAACATAATTGTTCAAGGAAGAGGATGTTTTTGTGGCAATTTGTTGTTTAAATGTATGATATTTGGGTGTTTAGAAAGAATGTTTTCCAAGAGTAGGCTGCCACTAGTAGACAATTGAGTCCATAACAGATTAGAGTTAGGGGAGATCAAAATATTTAAGAATTTGAAAAGTTGTATAATTTTAAAAATAGTAGTATGCCTATTAGGGCCATCGATTAAAGTGTTAGAGTGATGGAAAATACTAGTAGTAGACTATAAGTTATTTTGAAGTTGTTGTATTCTGATCTGAGTTGTTAAATCAAAAGTAGAAGGGCTATTGATACAGTTAAGGAAGTTGCTAATATGATGTTGAAGTTGTATATCCCATAGACTATGAATATTATAAAGATTATAGTTAAGCATAATGCTGTTGGAAATAGATCGAGAAAGATGTATTTGTATTTGGCAATAGTTAAGTATTTGTCAAGGATTTTGTTACAAGTGAAGAAAAGGATAATGATATTCTGGATATGATACTTAGTAGTAGAGATAATGACATTATTAATAATATAGGAGATCTGTTTATCTGTAATGTTTTTGATATTAGCAATATTGGCTAGCTGTATTGCTTCATCTTGAATAAGCTTGATTTGTTGAGTATGTTTGTTGTTAAGAGTAAACCAGCAATGAAGGAACTTGAAAGGTTGGTGGGTTGGAATAGAAGCAAGGTTGGAGTTGAGGAAAGAAATTGAAGCAGATGGTTGTTTAGAAATAAAAGTAGATTTAGAGAGATTAATTTGAATATTAGCCATATTGTAGAAAAAGATTGCTTTGTTAATAATTTTATTGAGTTCTTCTTTGGATTGGGTAATCCAAATAGTGTCATCCATATAGGCAAGCACAAATATAGAGATATGACGATAGTTAGTAGAAGGGTGAGTAAGACAGAGTTGCCATATTGTAGAGAGGGTGTAGTCAGAGAAATGTGTAGAAATGTAAGTGATAAGAGGGTCATAATAGATTTTCCAGAAAAGAGGAGTAATAGTTTCATCTTAGTCAATACTATTTTTAACTGAATAAAAATTAGTAAGACCAAGGTTAGTGATAACTCGATTAGTGTAGTTAAAAAGGAGGTTTGAAAGTATGTTAATAAGCTGCTGAGGCATTTGAAGCTTAATAAGAGATTTTTGAAAAAGTTCAAAGTTGACTGAGTCATAAGCTTTACTCATATCTTGTGAAAGAATCCAGAGTTGGCTAGATTGACAGTTAGCATCTTCAATTATATTGTTAAGAATATGTATAGGAATAGAGGTAGCATTGCCAAGAAGGGCAACATAGTTAAATAGAATAAGATACTATGCTGGCTTAAGATATTATTAAGCTGATTAGTGAGGAGTTTGGTATAAAGTTTACAAATATGTTTAACCAAGCTAATAGGTCTTGTGTTAGATAGATTACCATCAAAGATGAGTTTTTTGGAGATAGGAAAAATGTATTCTTCTTTCTATTGCTTGGATATTGATTGAAGAGTAAAACAGTGGTTAAATAAGAAGGTAATAGTTAAGATAAAAAAAGATCTAGCATGTTTGATCATTTCATAGCTGATACCAGAAAGACCACATGCTTTGTTATTAGGAAGTTGGCTAATAGTAAAGATAATTTCTTCTCAGATAAAGTTAGACAGGATGCTTGAGTATCAGTTGGGATTGATTTCTATTTTAGGACTGTTTTTTGATTGCCAGTCAGATTGAAAAATATCTTGATTAATGTTACAATGGGCAGTCCAATCATTAAAATATTGTTAAATGTGTGACTTAATAGTTATAGAGTCAGTGATAATATCATTATTAAGTTTGATATTATTAAATTTAACTGGATCTTTGTGCCAGTTAAGGATACTATTGATCATTGAGGTAGGATAAGTTTGAAGTTTAGTACA